TGTTTGTGGTTTTTTTATGCCGGTAATGCTTCCCTTTCCTTGACTGTTAAAGTCAGTTCTTTCCAAGGACACCTTTCTCAGCTTTCCTTATTTCTTGTTCTGCTTAGGGACTCCTAAATCACACACTGGCAGCCACTTTTCTTGCATGGATGACTGTTAACTCACTGTTGCAGGTTGCTTGGCTGACCTGCAAGACTCATCAATAACCAACCATGCATTATTGTAACACAATAACCACAAGCTTCCCAATGAAAACCAGCTGAGTGAAACAGCCAGTTCTGATGAAAGAGAAAATAATTTTGAAGCATGTATTTGCTGAATCTATTGTTTCTTGAATTACAAACATTCAAGTGTCTATTGCAGACTGCACTTTAGGAGTGTCCTTGGCTGTCTCAACAGCACTGCATTCTCACACTGCAGCACTGTCTAGAAATTCCAGTTTTGTGAGAAACTGAGCTGCTGCTGCTCACCAACAATCAGACCTTATTTATTCACAGGTTGTCGTTCCTCAGCTTATTACAGCAGTACTGTTTATATGGACAAGATGTCTTCCCTATTTAGGGAGTTTTGAGAAGTACATAATGCTGCAGCACAGCTTGGAAACACAAGTTATTTGTAGGTATATCAAACCAATCTCCCTGGCTTTCCGTAGAATTAAAATTAAATTCAATATCTCAGTCTTATCTTCAGAGAACATAATTTCCAGCACAACTACAGTTCCAAGATAATAACTGTTGTTGACAAGAACAGCACTCCTGGCCATGGAGGCAAGGTAGTCTTTTCAGGAGACAACTCACAGAGACCTGATTGCAAACAGCAGAATGAAGTTTTCCAAAGACAACAACAGAGTTCACCCCTCATCCTATCCCAGCTACAAAGCAGACTCATTTTACCTTGCTTCCTTCAATCCAAATGTCTGTTTTTAAGAGTACCCATTTGTTTCTCAGTAATTAACCCTCACACTATGAAAACAAAATGTTTCACATGCTCTTGCTCCTCTGTGGAAGGATACAAGTATAAACAACATGAAATGTGTTCTAGGAGAGCAGAAATTTCCTTGTAACACCCTTTCACTTTGCAATTCATAATGCATTACCTCACATATTTAATGTTAAATGTATGCAGTGATTAAGAAGAGATTCCTAATGCAAATAAGCAGCTATGAAACTATGCCAGAAACAATAACTTCTCATGATGAAAGCAAGTTAAATGTACTTTAAAGACCGTGTAAGTACTTGAAAATACATTTCCTTTTTCCTCTCCCCATATTAAATGGAACTTTCATGCCATCTTCTCACCAGCACCAACCTTTTGCCTAGTTCAGATGTGTTCCTTACATGTCTCTGTACCTGTTAGTAACTCGCACACATTCAAAAGTTATTAAAATTTGACACATTGCAGAGCTTTTGACTCTCTTAAGCCAGTCACACTAAATGCCTAAATTGTTTTGGGCATTAGAAAGACTTGACAGACCTGCTATAGCTGACAGACAGTGCAGAGATGGTCTCCTGATTTCTGCAGCATAATCTGCAGGCAGTGCTTGCTGGAATAGACAGTTTGCCTGATGCAGTATGGGTGTAGTCACCCTGCTCTTTTCTTTTGTCTCAGAAAAGCTGGTAAAAGCTAATACCAGTTGCTGCACTTTTTGGGAAGTAACAGAGCATTCAAACTCAAACACAGGAAAGTTTTGTTCATAACTATTCTTGCAGGTTCTTCATGTCCAGTAAAAGCACTATTAATATTACATTCTGGGAAGTTGCAGGACCAATTTATGCCCTGCATAAAGCAATCTCAAAGGACCACACTATTTTATTACTATTAGTGAATTTTGCTCATGTCTGTTTTCCAATTTGCCAAAACAATTTGCAAAAGGTAAAGGCACAACACAGCAGTGATTGTGACTGACTGCAGTTTATTGGTTGTGTGGTGCATACTAAACAACTCATTTGGGGTGTCCTCATGAGATCGTTTCAGAATTATCATCCTTGGTTAGCTTAAAACAGAAGAATTTTCAAGTGGTACAGGGAATTTTTTTCCATAAGACTTATCTCTGTAATCTCTTTTTCTCCTAGTATTTGATGAGCATTGTGGATGGGGTTGTACAATAGTGTTCTTGTGACTTGCAGCTGTGTTTTTCAAATGAATATTTGTCTTGGATTCTCCGTGGAATCTCTCAGCAGCTTTTATTGATGTTTCTTGTAAATGTTAAACACCACATCAATTCTTTGACTTTCTGCACCATCATGTACTGCTGATAACCAGGTACTTGTTAACTTTGTTTATTCTTTGGATCACACTCATTCCAACAGTGACAGATGGCCTGCTGTGGCTTCAGTGTGATTTGCATTCCACACAGTCCCTCTACCAAGGTTCCCTGCTTTCTTCTTCAGAGTGATCTATCCTGTCTTGTCAGTGGGTAATGAATAAGACGTACTGAGTATGCCTGCTTGGAGCAACACTTTTTTTTTTTATTATTTTGTTGTTGTTGTTACGTCCTTATCTGTTTTGAATATTATTATTTAGAGATCCTTGCTGTTCCTGCTCTTCTTTGGTGATTCTTTGGTGAAAGAAAATACTCTTTCTCTCTGCATGTCCATTCATGAAATTTCTTTATGAAACAATCACTCTTAACATGATTAAAAAAATGCAAGGCTGCTTACCTACTTTATGCGCTTTCAGGAGGTCATCAATACCATCTGGCAGGACTGGCTGATAAGCTGACAAGATCCATTGGTCATTATTGATTGGCTTTATCTTAAGAATTTCAAGCAAGTCTTCAATACTTGGCCTTTTAGAAGTCTAATCATCTGTACTTGTTCAGTATTTACTCAGATACATACTCTGTTCTGGAGATCCTTGGCTGTTTTGGGTCTCTCAGCTATTTTTGACTAATATTTTGATGGTCAGCAGCAAGGCAGTATTCAGCACAAACAAAATCTCTTTGGACTAAATTGACTTGAAACTAAATCCCTTTAACCCCCTGCAGTCTGGAAGGCTGAGTGGAGTTCTTCAGCTGAGCTGATGTAATGGAAAGCAGGAAGGTCCTGCTGTCCATTCCCTTAAGGAGTCAGTGTTTTTTGTTTAACCATATTCATTTCACACGTGCAAGGTGTTGAATTGTCTCTCCATTTACCTTTCAGAAATGGCTCCTCATGAGGTCAGGAGAGCACTATGGCTGGTACAGGAAGGAGTAGCAGCAGACAGTCATGGTCCAGAAAGAAGAGAGCAGGACAATGCCTTTGGTAGCAGTCATGTTAGAGCCACACAGCTACAGCAGGAAACTGTACCTTGAAAGTGTGGTTTTTTATTGTTAACTGAAGATGTTGTAATTCTGTGCTGCTTATCTTCCCCTAGTCCCACATTCCAAACTCCTTCCTTATTTTGGCTCCAGCAGTTCTGTGATGTGTTGAATCAACCTGGCTGCTGATCAACACTTTGCTTACCTGAGAACTCGGTAATTTCTGTGTGTGTGTTAATTTTCAGGTGGATCTGACTCACCCTTTGGTTGCATGATTACTAGAACTGATGCAAGGCAAGAAATGGAAATACCTGTAGAGGAGGGGCCAAAATCTTTTTTTCCAGCTGGAGATCAGTCTTAGATCAGTTTGAGTCAGTCATGAGCCTGTAATCAGACAAACTCTTAAAGCTGAAACTGCTGTCAGAAGAAACAGTCCTGCCTCCCTGCCCAGTGAATGCAATCCTTCCCAGCCCTGCGCCTCCTCCATCTGATATTGATCTGGTTCCCCATGCAACACAGCTGGCTGCATGGCTGCAGGATGATCAGAACAATGGGGTGAGTGATTTGATAACCAGTTTTTCAGGTTCACACCTCAGGCCAACTCCCAGGCCTGGCTCTGCCTGCAGCAGGTTGGAGGCTGGTGCAGGGCTGGAGGGATGGAGGCACCGTCTTCATCAAGACACCTGAGCTTGGCATGAAATGCCAAAGCACAGCTGCACACCTGGATTTGCTGTCCCTACACTGACAGACTCTCACAGCAGGAACTTCAGCAGGCTCCAGGCACTGGCAAGTCCCCTGTGGGCAAACGAGCCAGTGGAGATGGCCAGGGCTGTGGTGCCTCCCTGTGAGGTGAGTGGGGGCTCTCACCTGGGAGCCACCGCCCCAAAATCAGCGCTGCACACGGATACCTCCTGATTGAGGCACTTCCAGCAGCAGGGATACCTCACCCCACGCTGTGCTGGCACTGATGCCCACATCCCAGGGCGGCAGGGCTCTGTGGGTGCACAAAGCCCCTGCTCGTGATCCCTCCTCCCCCTCTGTCCCATCCCCAGAGCAGCTGCCCGTGGAGCCACCATGCTGGGTGACCCTGCTGAGGCCACACCTGCAGCGCTGGGTCCGGTTCTGGGCTCAGCAGCACAAGGGAGACGCGGAGCTCCTGGCTGGGTCCAGTGGAGAGCTACAAAAATGATTAAAGAACTGGAGCATCTCTCCTGGGAGGAAAGGCGGAGGAGCTGGGCCTGTCCCGCCTTGAGAAAAGCTGACTGGGAGGAGACCTCATCAATGTGTATAAATATCTAAAGGAGGGGTGTCAGAGGATAGAGCTAGGCCCTTCTCGCTGTGCCACGGGCAGAAACTGATGCACAGAACTTGCACACGAACATGAGGAGGAACTTCTTTACTGTGCAGTGACCGTGCACTGGGACAGGCTGCCCAGAGAGGGACTGGAGTCCCGCTCACTGCAGACACCCGGGAGCGCTCCGGCGGCAGTGCTGCTCTCCGGGACGGCCCAGCGGGGCCGGAACGCCGAGCGCGGTGTCCCCGGCGGGGCCCCTCAGGCACGCCGCGCCTCCCGCCCCGAGCCCCGCCCCAGCCCCTAGCCCCGCCCCTTTCCCCGCCCCCCGGGCGCGCGGGCCCGGCGCGCGCGCAGTCGCGCGGTAAACAGGCCCCGCCGGCCCCGCCTCCTCGTGTCGCCCCCGCGCGCAGGGGCCGCGCGCGCGCCGGCGGCTGCGCAGTGTCGGCACATCCGGGCACTGGGGCAGGATGAGCGCTCCTTTCCAAGATGGCGGCGGAGGGAGGTGGGAAGGAGATGAACGAGATTAAGACCCAGTTCACCACCCGGGAGGGGCTGTACAAGCTGCTGAGCCACTCGGAGTACAGCCGGCCTAACCGCGTGCCCTTCAACTCGCAGGGCTCCAACCCCGTCCGCGTCTCCTTCGTCAACGTCAACGACCAGAGCGGCAACGGGGACCGGCTCTGCTTCAATGTGGGCCGGGAGCTCTACTTCTACATCTACAAGGGGGTCCGCAAGGTACCGGGGCTCCCCCGCCGGGATGGGGCGGGGACTCTGGGGGCTCCGCGCCGCCCGCCCGCCGGGGTGCGGGAGCCCCGGGGCCGCGCCGGGGGCGGGGGAGCGAGGCCGGGCCGCCCCTCCCTCGCCGTGCCCCCTCCCCCGGCCGCGGGGCCGGCGGCTCCTCGGCTCCCGCCGAGCTCCCGGTTAACCGGGGAGCGCCTGGCGAGGGGGACAGCGGGCCTGGGGCGAGGGCGGTGTGAGGGCATCGGCGCCGGGCCGGTGCTCGGGGCTGCTCCACATACGGTGTCACCGGCGGGAGCTGTGTGTGTGTGTGTGGGCCCTGTGCCGGGATGCGATCGCTTGGGCCCTCCTTGTGCGGAGTGAGGGCTGGCTGGCTTTCCCTCCCTCGGCCTCCTTCACCTGCTGCTTCAGGTCAGAATTTGCTGGACACGCTAATGCCTGTTGTGATTATGGTGGTGTCAAATCCCTGCTTCCAGGATCTTCCTGGCTTTGGTTGCATGGCTGAAGCGTTCCGTGCAGCTTTAGGCCTTTGTTATGACACTTAGAAGTGGGTTGGTTTTAGAATTGTTTCTAAATGGGAGCGGTGCAGTGAGATGAGTCTTAAATATCAGATAATTGGCAGAGAGAAAGTTGCTTTTGCAGGAAAGAAAGATTGATGTACTTGAGAGAGAGACTCCTTGCTTGTCATTATCGGATGCAGGACAGTGCATGCTTTTGATCTCTCAGATCACCATATTTATGAGCAACCCGTTGACTTTATGGGGTTCAGAGAACAATTGGGAATTTGCCGTGCTAGGTGAGCACATGTCACTCCTCATAGATGTAAACACAGATATAATGAATGTCAGCTTTCTGTTTTGTTTCACGTGGTGGGCGTTTGTTATTTTACATGCTCGGGTCTCAGCATGCCATCATGTGAGTACCTTGAAATCTTCCTGCTTTTAGCTCACCATTCAGCATGGGATGGGGGCACAGGGAGCTCGAGACTCGCAGGAGGCTGTGCAGGAAGCTCGTGGATGAGCAGGGGATTATGCCTGGAGCTGCTGTGTCCTGGGTAGTGCCCCCAGCACTCCTGCTTTCTGTAAAATGTCGGCACAGCAGGAGTTTAAAGTCTACGTGCTTGTTTGTTGACTGTGACCTAACAGATCTGATATGTCTTGTATAATTATATGTGAAAGTGTGTCTGTGTGTATTTAGTTTCACTCTTTAATGAATTTTAATAATCTAGGTATGTTTCAAATAGCTTTTTTAGCCATTTTTCAAATGGCTTTTTTAGGCATACAAGGAGTATTTAGTATCAGACAGTATTCCCTGCTTACAACCACTTGCTGTCTTTACAAGGTATCCTGAGGAGCAGTATCTCTGAAAATCTATATCCTAAATCGTTGCTGTGTTTGGGTCTTGCTATGTTTGTTTTTTCCATGCAGAGTTCTCTCCCTCAGCTCACAGAGCAGGCCTTCATGTAGTTTAGTAATGGCACATGTGATTCTTGCAAGTTCTCTTAGTCATCTCTTGCCACACTTCTGAGAAATAAAAATCTAAAGGCTGGAACTTCGTTGACAGTAAGGAGTGGAATAATTATATCAAATTACAAAAGACTTCTTGAGCTGGTATTTGGATATTGTTTTAGATGCTAAAAGCTACTGGTATGATATACAGTAGCTGAGATATTTGAGTTTGTGAACTCAGGAGTTCTGAGGCATTTATACCTGTGACAGTGTGAAACACTTTTTTCTCAGAATAGAATAAAACATACACATTGTTAGGACAAAATTAATCTCAATGACCTTTTACAGTATTAACTATGTAGGATAATACTGTATATTCTATATGTATAACATTTTAGTGAAGTGAACCTAAAGAAAGAGCTGAAATAGGTTGACTCAGTCTAAGGAAAACTTTAAATGAAATGGGAAGATGGTCTGGCTTAAATCTGCAGTACTTGCTGCTTGGGAATTTATTTTGGAACTTCAGTTGGAAGTAACTGTTTTGTCTGTGTACAAAAGTGAAGCAGGAGCAGGCTGCCAGCCTGTCAGCTGATCATGTGAACTTTTCAGAATCAAAAGTTCTATCTTGTAGCTATCATAAAGGGGAGAGAGCTGTTGTTACCTAAATGGACAGGATGTAATTCTGCCTTAAACCGGGCAGACTGTGACACTCTGTGTTCCTTCCTGTTCCTGGGAGCAGGATGGGGAGAGGGATTTGATCTAAGACCAACCTATTTGTGCTCCTTGGCATAATACAGGTGCTGATAACTTTAGTTTTAGCTGTTACTTCATAATTATTTATGTATCCTTTAAAAATTTTCCCTGATTACTTAAAGATCATGATTTTCATTCTGGCTAAGTCATACTGGAGTATTGAGTTGAATTTAATGAAGATGTGCTGTGTAAATATATCAGGTCACTGTGATTTTGTCTTTTTATTTTTCCTTTTTTTCCCACTTTTTTTAAAGACTTCTTTTGTTGATGGGATAATGCTATATTTTTCCTAAAATGAGTGAAAGAACCACCAGGACTGTATTTTAAGTGACCATGTCTGTTAGGTGCTGAGATAATTCTTGCATCAGTAATCCTTTGCAGATGAGTACACATTAAAGAAGAGCAACACTTAAGCCATGAATGCCACTAAAGAATAAATAACCTAATATTGAGGCAAAGATACCACTTGGAAGGATATTTCTTGACATCAATAATGCTAATCTTTCTTCCTTTAGTTTCCTTTAAATCCTAAATGCTTTGTGTCTGCTATATCTGGTTTGGAAGTCACCTTTATACATGAACTGCTGATGTGTGTGTTGTCTTAGGAGATTTAACTTACATAAAGAAAAATGTTTCCAAGTAACCTTAATCCTTCCAAGGCACCTGGTGGAGAAGTTAGGTCTGGCATCCAGGACAGTGGTGTGGAGATGGGAGTACAAATGGACAATCCTCAGGGTTTGGTAGAGAGACAAAAGTTTTGGACAGATTTGAAGCTGTCTCTAGGGACTTTTCAAAGCAAAAAAGTACTTTTTCCAGCTTCATTCTTCACCTCTTTAAGAAGGAAGCTGAGTTTTTACTATTTTATTAAAAATTTAAAAACATTATTTAAAAAAACCCTGATTTTTTAAAAATAATGAAACGTTGCAGCTGTCTTTGTGTTTATAAAGCAATGCAGACTTCCAGAAAACTCCTGTGTTCTGATTTGGATCCACTTAAAAAAAAAAAAAGACACAGAGCTGTAGTTTAGTAAGAAGTTAAACTGTGACAGAAGGAGATGTGGTTGGTTTACTTAGATAAGTGTGTAATTGTTCTTAACTGCACTGAGTGTCACTGGACTTTCCCTTTCAGTCCTCCTTTGCTTTGCTTTCAGGTGAGGTGTGTGCAGTGATCTCTCATTAACCAGAAGGGGTAAATTCCCATGAGCTGCCCTGATCTGTGAGAGCTGTAAGTGATGGACTGGCAGTGTGGGATCCTGCTGGCAGAGTGCTCCATCCCCTTGTCTCTGGCACTGCTCAGCCTCTGGTTCAGCCAGTTCAGCTTGCTAAACCAGCAGCAAAATCTGCAGTTGTTCTGGGCAGATTTCCTCTTGATTTGGTGACTTGCATGGTGTCATCGTGGGGTTGATGAGTACAGTGACAGCAAGGGAAGGCTGGAGGGGCTCAGCCCCCTTCAGTGGCCTGGACTGTCTGCTGGGATCCACTGCCTTGGAGGCCTCTCCTGAGTAAAGCCTCTGCTTCAGCCTTAAGTCACTTCTGGAATGATCTGTTCCTGAGGGATTGTTGACTTCATTAAGAGACTTAGAGGTGTTAACAGAAGCTTTTCCTGTTATTTTAGGCATTTTCCTCTTCATGGAGTGAGATTATATCGTAATAATTCAAAAATTATTCAAATTATGATGCTCTGATGCTCTTGGTGGATTGCTTTTTCCTACAGCCCCTAACCAGGAGTGAGGGCTGTTACTTGGTTTTTGTTTATAAGACAGTCTTGAAGGACTTAAATATGGTTTGTGGCTAGGTTTGCAAAATGATTTATTAGTTGATTCATTAGGCTGGAAAAAGAGAGTGCTATATCATCTTCCTTGCCTTAGGAATGACTGACAAGGCAAAGCTTTCCAGCCTGCTGCTGACATTAACTCTCAAGTCCTTTTCCCTTCCTAAGAGAAAGCTTCTGCATTTTCCTTGTAGAAGTTTTGTGTGTGATGATGTGTTATTCTCTGTATGTTGTAAAAGTTTCTGGGCAGGTTCATCTGCAGCTGTCATTGCAGTGCAGGCGCACATCAGCAATAGTGTTGCATGGTGCACAGGCTTAATTTTTATGTAATATATTGAGAGGTTATGAAATTTGAATGCATAGTTTAGCTTATTACAGGAAAACCTTTTGCATTGTAGTTAAATTCTGGCTATATACTCTTTGGTAATGTGTGGCTTAATATTGGTTGTTTCATTTTTTGAAATCACCTTTTTGAAGAAGAGGTTTTGTCTTTAGTTTGACTTTTTCCTTGCAGCTGCCTAAAGCAGCAGTCTGTTAATAACTTTGGAATATTACTGTGTATTGCAGTAGTGTTGGATTAGAAACATACACAGGTGGTAAGCACAGGTTGCTGGAGCCATGGAGGGCAGAATTTGCTGACTGTCTTTTTAAGCTTTACTTGAGCAAGTGTCTTGGAAGTTATATTTGTACTAGGATGAAAATCATCTCATATCTCAACTTCTTTTATTGACAGTTGGCATACTGGTAGTGCCTGCTTATCAGTAAAAAGACTGATGTATAGGATTCCTTCCTTTGCACTTCTCAAAATTACTTTTTTTGTGTCTGGCTTGATTTGTTGTACAGTTGAAGAATGTTATCCTTGCTGGTGACTTTCATTCTACAGACTGTTCACCTGGGAACTTGTTGCAGTGACAGAATGGTAATGGGTGACATTTGTCACTGTGCTTAATATATTGCTCTGAGAAGAGCAGTGTCAGGCAGTTCTAGGTTGGAAGCTGGGGTGTGTGGAGAAAACAATCACATTTT